TTAACTTAATTAAAATATATTTTTAAAATGTAATAAATATATTTTTTATTATAACTTTATATTAAAAATTAATTTTTAATTTATTAATTATTTAATAATTTTATGTACTTAATACTAATATTAAAATTAATATCAATTTTTATATTCTTTTATATATTTATAATAGAAAAATTATCTTTAAAACACATATATAAAAAAACCATGTTTACGACTTTATGAAAAATCAATTATTTTTCAGGAGTAAATTTAAGTGGTTGAAAAATAAAAACAAGTAAAAACGTTTTTTTTAAAAAAAAATTAAGTAATGGAGTAAAAACGTGGGTCATGTGAAGTAATTTTTCAATAAATTAATTAATTTCGACTCCAGTTTTGCAGATTTCGTACGTACGAAAATTTGCAGCACATGAGCCAGACCTTTTTCAATATATTTATTTATTGGTGCAGGTTTCAGAGAACATGTGGCAACATCGGACGGTGTCCGGAAGTATTGCCGGCCTGTCAAAGTTGTTGGTGAAAGCGATCTAAGAACGTGAATCATCGTGTGGGAATTTCTAAATTTTCAAATGTGTGAAATGGAGAAAGATAGGGTTTCATTTAATTAAATGAGAGCACCTAACTCCCTGGTACGTACGTCCATGAAATATTGATCTTAGATGTCTGAGCTAGCCTCTAGGCCCTCCACTTTTGACCCATGATCCTTTTTTTTTCTCGGTGTTCTGACACAATTTTGAATGATTTTTTTTTTAACATTTTAATTATAAGGTCAGTTCGAACAGTTATATTTAAAGAAGATGATATAAATTTTACAAAAGTGATTGGACCCACTTGATTCACAGTATAGCTTCAGCTGTGTATTTTGTGAATTGTACAATAAATTTTTTATTTTTGACAAGTGAAAAATTAAAAGATAAAAGAATAATTATACTAATGTTGCATGAGCAGCTTAAACCCTTAATAAAGAAGTTAAGGACGTAAGTGCACTGCAATCACGGTTAAGCCGCAAGTGCATACAATATTTTTTTTATTGGGTAAATTAATATTGTAATTATAATCTATTTTTTTCTTTATAATTTCTCATTTAATTAGTATTGTAATTAAATGAGAGCACCTAACTCACTGGTACGTCGATGAAATATTGATCTTAGATGTCTCCACTAGGCCCTCCACCATTTGACCCATGATCTTAAATTTTTTTCCCGATGTGCTGACATGATTTTGAATGATGGGTGTTTGCAATTGTGTATTTTGTTAACTCTATAATACATTTTTTTTATATGGTAAATTAGTATTGTAATTATAATATATATTGTAATTTAATATGTTAAATGATAAATCTCAACTAATAATTATCATTATTAGTTATAGTTAATAATTAAACTAAATAAAATTAATATTTTAACAAATAATATTTAAAAATTATATAAACATAATATTTTAATGTGTGAACATAACTATAATCTAAAAATGAAAACATAGTACTAATGATTTGGGGATCCGAATATAAAGAGTTTTATTTTTTAAAAATAAAATCTTAAATTTAATTTTTATGAATGAAAAAATAAAAATAAAAATTTTTTTTTATAAAACCTTACATAATTCAATTTTGAATTAAATGATTTTCAAATTTCAAAGGTTAATTAAAAAGAAAATAACCAAATAGTGAGATGAAATGGAACAATTTTCTTCTGTGACGTAACCCATCCATTATAAAGAATAATATTTTTTTTATGGAAAGAATAACAAATTATGACGGAATTAACAACCGAACTTAGATTTGTTTACCTATTAGTACTTATACTGCATGGTACATATTTCATTGAAAATGCAAATTGTACTTCTTTTTTTGTTTTTGGTTCAATGCAAATTGTACTTCGAAGTTAGTTTTAAGCCCTTTTCTTTTATCATTTGAAATCATCAAAAAAAATTAGTGATGGAAAAAAGGCGAATAAAAAAAAAAACTTGTACTTTTTGGTGGTGTGACAAATAAGTTTTTAAACTAGAGTTGGACACAAACAAGTCCCTATATTGGTTGGGTTGTGCCAAAAGTTATTTCATTTGAAGGACATGAATTTAGAACGACCAACCATATGACCCATTCTAATTTATTTTGGAGAATTAAGGATTTCATGGGAAGAAGAGGGACTAGCTAGAAACTGTTAAGAAACTTGAAGGGCTAATAGACAATTAAGTGAAATCTCCTCACACCATCCTAAAAGCCATTAGATCATCTTAGGTCACTAGCTCGAATTCGAGTTGAACTCAATTTTTTTTTTTTGAAGGTTAGGATGTTTTAAAATTAATTTTTATATATTTTAAAATTATTTTTTTAGATGATTTTAAGAATGTATTATTCATATTTTGTTTGATATATTTGAAAAATATTCTTTAAGTATTGATTCTAAAATTTTTTAAACATAATTTATAAAATAATATTTATTTACAACTAGATTCAATAGTTGAAGTTGTCAAAACTCAGTTTCTTAAAAAATAATATTTACAAATAATATTTTTATGCTATGACATGATATGTTTTATTATGTAAAACAATTAAATAAAAAATATAAATTGATATATACATTAACTCATTTAATATATATATATAGATATTTTACTAACTTCGAAAGAAAAAAAACTTAATTGATGTGGGCTTCCTCATCATATTGTAGCAAGAAGGTCATGGGGGTTCTCTATTAATAAAGCCCCAACCTCTCTTAAATTAAATTATATGTTTAATCAAAAAATTATTTTAAAAATTAAGTCAAACAGGTTAATTAGATCAAAATTTTCCGAAGAGCCTAACCCGTTGACAATAATTGCAAGATTGATATGCTTCCTTGGTATCCTCCAATTAAGTACATAACATCCCTGGTCCTAAACACCCTAGTTCATCCTTTCGTGGTCCCAATTCCCAAACCCTTAAGATGTACGACTCATCATCTCATGTCATTTTTGTTTTCCTAGCCCCTATATGACTCAGCTCCAGGTCCCCACATTTTCCCGAGAAAATTGTAGAAACACAGAACACTAATTATGCAACGGTCTATATTTTCCCAGGACAAAGCTGGTGGTTATGACACAGAAGACAGAATTCCTTACCGAATTAGGAAGGCTTGGAGTCATTCGACGTCCCTATACTTTGTATTTTCATCCATTAATGTCCTTATACTTGAAAATCATTGATTGAGGTCCTGCTGATTGTTAAAAATAAAGAAAAAAAGTGGTTCATTGGGTCCCTTTACTCACGTAAAACGATCAATAAGTTCCATAATATCATATGATGCTATTATTGATGTAACACTAACAACCTAGATTCTAGGAATTAACTTTAGAATTATTTCAATTTTAAATAAATTTTTTATTATTTATATTTGTAGGACTAACATGCAACATACACTGCTCATAAGATAAAAGAAAGGAGAAAAACCTCCTTCCTTGTGGTATACATATTCTTCTCCATCAATCTCAACTTAATTCATAAACTTTTATATACAAGGATAAAGTAATTTATAATTGACAAAATTAAGAAAAAAAAAAACAAAAAGAGCAATTTAATTACATCTACAATCATTAAAAAAGAAAATATTCAGAATTTTTTTAAACAAATGAAAGAAACTTGCAAATAAAGAGAAACCTGAATGCAAAAAATCAAAGATATTGACTTCATACAAGATTTTGTATGCAGATTGCAGGACTCTCATGAAAGATTTTGAAATAGAAAAATGCTATTGAATGAAAATGAAGAGTAGAAGACCGTCGATTGACGTTAACCCAATCCAAGATGAGACAGAAGTGTCGTCTATAGATTGCTACCCCTATTTTTGGGTTACTATTCTCACCTTTTCTATGGTATTTGCCATTCTGACCTTTTCCATGGTATTTGCCATTCTGACCTTTTCCATGGTGTGTAATATTTGTGACAAGAAATAATTCTTGTTTTGTCAGCTCCCTAGGGAGATAAGATCAGGAAAAGGAATATAAACAATAAATAATGGAAAAAATGGGGGACCAGATTGAACCCCAAAGGTGGAATCAAACTCGAAAGCTTTCTCTTATCTTCAATTCTTTTTTGTGGTGGGAGAAGGTGAGAAGCACATGGGAATATACAGCATTTTGAGTTAAAAGCCTAGATGCTACCTCTTTGTGTCGAGACTCTTTTATAAAAATTTCTTTGTCCTTCATCATTGTGCCCTAACTCATACTTGATATAATGAAGGAAATTGGGTGTATACTTGAAGACGTCCCAAACCATACCCATATTCTCGTCGTTTGATTAGTGCTTGTCACATCTCCCACCGTTTGATTTGATATCCATCTGATTGATCATTGATTATACCCCACTTCTCCGTTGATTTAGATGACATCCCAATAATTAAGAGCCTGAATGGATTATCATAATGATAAATTTCCAGAGCTTAAACATAAAGTTCTATAGAGAAAAATTAAGAAGCATGCATATTGATTAAATCCTCAGCAAAATGCAGAGTTTCTAGATGCAGGATCCAATTGTTAGAAATATCAAAACAACAATCCTCAGAAAACTTCAAAATTTGGCGAGTGAGCCCAAAATTATTGCCAAAGTAGGAGAAACATTCCTTGGAAGTTGGAACTTCCGTGGCCTATGCAATTTTTGCTTTCAAAGCTTCTGGTAGACTCTAGCAAGCGCAAAGCCTTAGGCTGGGCCATCTCGAGAAGCATACCAGTCAGTTACCTTCGCCGTAGTTTGGGGCAAATATAGATGTTCCCCCCAGCAGCTGCAAGAAATATGTTTCCAACGGTATAAATGCGCATTGTTTTAGGTCAATACAATTCCTGCTTTAGAAACACATTAAAGCTTAAAAGTAGAAGTCATGTTGTCAATGTTGGAAAATTTCAGACTCACAATCAATCCCATACTGAAATTAAATCAATATACAAATAACATACTGCTATCTCCTTCAATAAACATGTTACGATTGTCCTTGATATCCATTACACCCCATTTAAAGTCCTAGTCATCATAATGGAAATAACTCAGCAAGCTGACTGTTATTTCCAGGGTCCCAATAAAAGGCTTCAACCCATTAGATCCAGAATATGATACACGTACTAATAGTAACACCAGCAACCTAGCTCTTCTTTCTTCTTTCCTTTGTGCAAGTGCAACATAAAGTGGTTTGCTAACAACCATTTTCCCATTCATCTCTGCGAGCTACGACAATGAACAAGAGTACGGAACTCAGAGCAATAAGACTGACAGAGAAAACCATCATCAGCTTATTTAGAGGACACAAGAAATTCATCTTATTGCTTGAGATTCTTCTTCAGAAGTTGAGAAGGCAATGAATCCTGAGCCCTTATTTACGCCAATAGGATCACAGATAACCTGTTCAAACTCAAAAGTGACAGAGAGGGTGAAGATTGAAGAGCTGTATACTGCCTATAAAAAACATTACTTGTAAGAATTGGGATGGTGTCAAACATTGCATGAGGTAATTAGACCAAATTTGGAGAACAACTCACTCAGCTTATCATCGTCTGTACTATCATTTAGGTTCTGAACATATAAATTCAATCCTTCCTTTTTATCAGCTGTCTCAAACTCTGCTCAACCTCTCAAACTGCTCTTTCAATTCAAGCACACTTTCAAATTTCTTCTGTGCTTTCCCAACATACCATTATTTGCCATCAAACTTCTTTCCACTGAGAGTCTCAACAGACCAGGCTGCATCACATGGGTTCTCAAAGTTGACAAATCCAACACATTTTGACTCTTGCTCCATCTCTTATAACTACAGAACTAATAATACTTCCATATTCACCACATATTTTCTTCAAGTCCTCATCAGTTACAGATTCTGACAGATTCTTCATGTAAATATTGTTAAATTCTGCCTTGTCTACAGCAGACTCTCTTTCCTCCTGCTTATGGATGAAGGGTCCAACAGAAACTTGCTTGTTATTCAGTAGCACACCATTCAGCTTATCAATTGCATTTTTATTACTCTTCATTATCAAATTGCATAAACTGATATCCTTTGCTTGATCTGAAGATTCAGTAGCTGTCTCACAAGATTAAATATTCCAGAATATGGAAAATGTGTAATATAGAGCTTTGTCTCTATTGCCTTTTCCAGAATCTGGCATGACAAAGAGCATTAGAATCAATCAGACTGGAGAAACTAGAACGTGAGAATATCACAATGACATTAAACTCATCAGAAGCACTAAAGAAGGCAAGTACCTTGATAAATATATTTTCACCAACACTTTTGCAGATGGAAGGATCATGGCATTGTGGTTAAAAAACATTATCCTGATTGGCTTTCCATGTAGAGAAGTAAAATTCAGTTCATCCAATGCCTGTTCTGCTGATTTAAGCCAAAAAAGCATAAAACATAAATATCAGCTAATAGGAAACTAGCGGCACATTATGTTAAAGTTTAATAATACACATCATCAAGTATACACATGTTTCCTGGAAGATAAACAACAGTCATGGAAGTCAACATGATTAGATTTGGTTCCTCCAATATTCCTACAAACTTGAATTCATTCAATTGACACCACTGAAATGAGAAACACCTAAATTTACAACAATATGACAAAAAATCAAACAATATTGAAGAATCCACAATGAACCATGAATTAGCATTAGCAAGTACAAGATTTTGATGAAAGGTATCAGATGAACTCACCAAACAAAATTAACAACACTATTACAAACATGGGATTACAGAATAATAGGAATAATGATCATTGAAGCTATTACATTTACCATTATACCCAGAGTAATCTTGTCATTTTCTTTTATGTATTCTAGCTAACATTTCTTCCCATGATGAGGGGATTTTTTCTTTCTCCATTTTATCCATTCCCATCTTCGCAAATTAGAAAGTAGTATTTATGGATTTTGGCTGAGAGTTCTCTTACAGCCATATCTTATATTTTCTTTCCCTTCATTTATCTCTCCTACTATGGGGTAGTGATGTATATTTTCCACACATACTTTCATATATTCATAGCTTTCCTCTCCTACCAATCACAATAAAAACCAGTTAAAAAAGGATAAGAAACACCCAATGCAAAGGTTCCACATTCAAACATTGCTTATGTTTAGCAAGACAACCAGATTCTTGCTAATCTTTCACATTAGTTTTCAATTCTGTTTAGCAAATTTGTTAGTGAAAATCATTACTCATGTGGAATATCAAAACGGCCGAGATGACATTTAGGTTTATACTTTCTCTTATCGCTTTTTCCTCTTAATACACAACATCTCAAAGCTTCAATCTACTACTAGTTGACACCCATATGCAATGCAAGCATCATTGTTCAACTGACCTCTGCAATCAAACCGTGCAGCATTGCAGAGTTGTTTACCCAACAACTCATCCCCAGCATATCAATGCCATTCAACCAAACACTACAAAGATTTAATTATAACTAAAAACCACAAGTAGCTATAAATACAGTTCATTTCTCTTCCCCATTGCAATGCAATAAGGCGCACAACTGAAAATCATTTTGTCCAAACATCAATAATCTTACCCTTTTTTTCTGGCTAGCCAAACTCATCTCATCTTCTCATCCCATTACTAGCAACCTGCAAGCAGAATCACTTCTCACACGGAACACTAATAATACCAAAAACGAAAAAAAATAAAGAAAGAGAACTAACCATAATAGGTGTTGCTGTAGACCCAAACCGACGCAACTTGACCCAGCAGGTTAAAGAAATCGTAGAGCTGAGAATCGGTCACATTCTCGTCAACATCTCCGACATATAGCGACATCGACAGGAACTGATTCACATTCCCGCCATTGCTCCCAAAGCGCCGTTTGCGACGGAAGATAGCGGACCTGCACCAGAACCTGTGCCATCTCAAAACACACAAACATAATACAGAAACCCTGAATTCCTGTTCAAATTGGAACGATAACATAGGGAATGCAATAACAACAGGTCTGGTTGTGAAATTTTTTTTTTTTTAATTTTTTTTTACGAACTGAAAAAGTCACTATGGATAAAAAAAAATGGTCACCAAATAAAAATGAACAGGTTAATAAAAGCGAATAAAACTATGAAAAAAAAAAAGGAAAAAAAAAAAAGAAAAAAAAGAAGAACAGTCCCTCCCCGTCGGACGGCTTGGCTCCACAGCCACTGCCTCCGTGGCCTCTCTCCAGCTGCCCTGTCAATTCCTCTTTCGTCAGTCGAGTTTCTGCAGTTCCTGCGTTGTTGCAGCTGGCACACCTTCACCGCCAATTCCACCCTGTTTGTCGATCCATTTGCTTTTTACCACGTCATTTCTGCTTTCTAGATGACACTCATTGCTTATAATTTAATACTTCAATGCTCTAAATATTTCAACTGATTAAGAACTCAAGATTTTAAATTAAAACTTTTATATTTAAATAAAGATTTTAAATTTAGTAGGATAAATTTGAAAAAAAAAATGCTGTCTTTTTGTATAATTTATCATCAATGTACTAAAAAAAATTAATACTTGAATTTTGTTTCTCGAGAAATTTTAGTAAATGCCAAATGTTTTCTCAAAAGAAGGTAAATTGCATTAGTCTTAACATAACCTGTTTGCCTGTTATGTTGCAGCCGAAAGGAGGAGTATATACAGTTGGGGATTTTATGACAAGGGAAGACGATTTGCGTGTCCCAAAGCCCACAACTACTGTTGATGAAGTTATCAATTTGTGCTTTATGAAAATAAGTCAGATTAAATAGCCTCCCAGTTTTAAATAAGAAATTCTTAATGCATCAAGTTCATGCCTAACAGCAATTGAAACTCTTGTGCAAAACAGAATTACACGTTTTCCTGTTGTTCTTGAGGATTGGTAATTGGTATATTTTTCTCATCCTTTCATTTGATCATGTGAGGTGAAGATTCTCTTGGCCATTCCAATTGTATTTTTTGCAATTTTGTGGCACTGACCTTCAAAATTCAAACTTGTATCATAATCAATCCATCCCTTGGTCAAACTTTTATGAATGCTAAACATCTCCCTATAAAGTGGAAGAATTTGATGGTAGCATTGGCTCCCCAGGGCCCTAACAATGGGAATCAAAGGTAGAATTTTGCAGACAACCGCTCCTCCCTTTCTCTCTCTCTTAGCGTTAAGGCAATTATTGTTGGCTCGAAAAGAAAGATGATCAACCCTTTTTTTTTTTTTCTAGGCCAAATGATCAATCTGTTGAATGACATAATATTCTTAAATGAAAAAGTCAGATTCAGTTTTCTATTTGTCTGGTTCAACAAATTTGTTTGGTTAAACAATTTTGCCTAATAATTGTGGCCCGAAGCATGGTTCATTATTACAATGGAATAATTTGTAAACTTTTTTGGTTCTGCAGGTTGGTCTTTTTTCTGATTATGATTTGTTAGAGTTTGACTCTATACTTGGTAAATTGAAATTGCAAGCAAATCTAATCTTGTCATCCATCTGTTCTTATTGCAAACATTTCCTTATTATTTGCTATCAGTCATTTAATCGGACTATGTTAGCAGTAGATCGACTAAAAATATGCTTCTGGCATGCTCAAAATCTAATGTTTAAATGACGCATAGGTGTTTGAGATGGGTGTTTCTTCTTGGCAAAGGAAAATTCAGTACTTTTTAATTAGTGTTGTGGTGGTAGATAATGGAGCTGGAATTATTATTACATAACCAGCTGTTAACCAGAACAGTTTCTATATTGCACGGTTGAATGTCTTTACAGGGAACTCTAAATTCTTCCTATACCGTAGTCATTTCTTTACATAGTGAACTGTTCTTCTATTAGGTCAAGGGTTAGCCGACAACAGCATGTTTCCCGAGGTTGATCGCATTTGGAAAATAAGTGTCCAGGTGAGAAGTGTCTTTCTCAATTAAACAGAGATTCATCTATTTTGGCAGTCAATGTGCTGTAACATCACTTCTATACTGTTTATAATGGGTTTCCAGAGATCACAATTTGCAATAAGGATACATTTATATAGGCGTAGAAGTAGATTGAATTTTTTGAAACTTTTATTGTTCTACTCTATTGTGATAGAGGTTAGGAAAAGATAAAGAGTCTTAATAGTACATGAGATGGAAATGAAGTTATGATAACTGCTGCCATTAGAGACTCAGAGTTGATGTTATTGCAACCCTTGACTGACTACCCTTTCCACTTTATCTGTGGAAAATTGGAAATTGACACCAAGTCTCTATTTCTCTCTCACACACGCACACGTGCACGCACATGTTGATTGTTTATTTCCCGTTTACAATTGTCACGTAAGAGAAACATTTCAAGGGTTCAATTGAGTAGTTCCTCTGACTTGGAAAAAAAAAAATCATTGCAGATTTTCAACGAGGTACAGAAGTTGCTCAGTAAAACCAATGGCAAGGTGATTAATTGGTGATCCTATTTACACCAGCACCCGTTGTCGTTCGTGAAACAAGTAATTTTGACTTTTGAGGATGCCGCAAGGTCTGTCATGCTTATCTTGCTTATGCTTTCTCAAATTTTATAAGCTTTCCGTTTTTCACTGAATGCATTATAATACCAATTTAATCACATTATTGGACTTGTAATTTGTTTACCAAATTTCAGATTCCAGTTGTTGATGTTGATGGCAAACTTGTAAGCAAAACACTCCATCCCTTCCAGCTTATATATCCTCGTAATCTTCTCCTACAGTGTACACTAATCTCTCCTTTTTTGTTCTGAAGGTTGGTATCATCACTAGCGGAAATGTGGAAAGAGCTGCCCCTTAAATAAAACTTGCTATCGAAGGGAAAGCATATATAAGTCCAAATATTATTCGAGAAATTTGAGGCATCAAGACGATCGAAACCTTAGGCCTTGAATCGGGATTGAATCCCCTTTTTTAGGGTGCAGTTGCAACCACCTTGACGAATTTCAACTGCAACCTGAAATTCCTTCTCGGTTTCAAAGAAAAAGCGATTTGAATTTTGAAAGAATGACTGTAGTTTTGTCATTATGAACGTTCACAGACTTCATGTGTACGTAGTTGCAATTTCTTTTACCTGTCCGGACTTCCGACCCACTACATAAAATTAAAGAACATATTCATTGGCATCTGAAAACGATTGCAAGAAAGCGATGGGAGGAAGAAAGCAAAGGCTCCATCATACATAGAGACAGTTGTAGTCTTTTGGATTTTTCTTTCTCTTTAACTCTTGCCGACCAAATATACCGGCCTTGCAATTGTCTCTGCATTATTTTTTTTATTAATTTTTTAGTATTTGGTAATTAGTTACTTTAGCTCTAACTAATCCAAAATTAAGTCACGTTAGAAAATTTTTTCAACATTTGTTTCTTCATTTATAACATTTAAACTTGAGGTCTTATTTAAATAAAATCAAATTTCATCCATTCGAATTAACAAGTCGTTGATTATCTTTGCATTGCTAGGAACAGAATCCTAAAATTTTAAA